TGTCAGCCTATTATCGGTATATGCAATGTCAATGGTGTTCTACAACCACTTCTTGGGTCTCGCCACTTTTGATACCACATATAAGAAAAACTTTTTTGGCATGCCCTTTGCTCATATGCTTGGAGTGAATCACCACCTTAGCACAACATTTTTTGGGTTTGCACTTATATTTGATGAGAAGGAGGAGTCTTTTGTTTGAGTATTTGAACATTGCTAGAGGCAATAGGAGGACATCAACCGAGAGTAATTATCACCGATCAGGATCCTGTAACGTTCGGTGCAGTGAGACAGGTTATGAATAAAAGCGTACATCATTACTGTAAGTGGCACATACTTTCAAAGGTTAAAAAAAAATTGTGTCATGTCTTGAGAAAGAGTCCATATTTTCCAGACCACTTCAGGAACTGAATAATGAGTGAAACTAAGGAAAAATTTGAGTTAGAATAGAAATCTCTAATTGAGAAATATGATCTTCAATAGAATGAATGGCTCAATAGATTGTACAGATGTCGAAAGCAGTGGATTGATGCATACGTGGCAGATGCATTCACAGCCGGTATGTCATCGACTCAAAGAAGCGAAGAAAATGAATAAGAACTTCAAAAATTATGTGACTTCCAATACAAGCTTGCGCACATTGTTGGAAACTACTCTAAAATTGCATAATAAAAAACTTCTTAAGACGAGAGAAAATTACTTAAAGAACATCACATTTACGGCTTTTTTGAGAACCACGTGTGACATTGAGGCTCACGCTTCAAAGATATATACACACAAAGTTATGAAGTTGTTTGGGGAAGAAGTTGCTGAGGTGTCAATTACATGAGTGAAATTATTGAAGAGAGCGACACAGTTGCAATCTTTAAGGTATCAAAACGCGAAACTGGAATAAGGGTCTGCACTTGAGAGTTCAATAGTCACGACCAAACGTTTTCTTGTACTTGCCACATGTATGAGTGACTAGGCATTATTTATAGGCATGGGATTAGGGTGTTGATGGTTATAAATATTTTTGAAATCCCATCGCATTACATAATGAAGTGGTGGACGAAAAATGTGATCCAAGGTGTTATAGTTGATGCCAACGGGAAACAAATTCAAGGTACTTCTGATCTACCCCGTTCCATTCGTTTTAATGAGGTTAGTCAAGCCACTAGAGTACTAGCAGAGCATGTTTTAGAAAGTGTAGACCTTCATGCATTTAAAATATCTAAAATAGCAAGTACAATTGCAAAGGTTGAGGCCAAGATTGGAGCTATGGTATTACCACATGGTGCTATTAAGACCCCTTACAGTAGTCGTACTGAGAATATGAATGTCGGCAGTAGCCACCGCGTTGAGGTTGAAGTGCATTGTGACGACCAAAAACTTTTGGAAAAAAAAAAAAAAATAATATTAATGGTGTTAACATAAATAAATACAAAATAAATAAATAAAATAATAATTATCTATTAGTAATGATAATAATAATAATAATAATAATAAAATAGCAATGATAATAAAAATACAAAATACTAATATAATTTTTGGATGATAGTTCATTATATTATGAATAAACCATAGGAACTCCCTAAATTTTCCCTTTTCACAAGTTAATACGATGGCATTATAAGAGGATGATAGGTCGGTACCTTTTGAGTGTCTAGATAGTTGTACTTGTGCCCTTCGTATCAGCTATGACTTCCAATATTCAATAGCTGATAACTTCATTCTTTCTTGAGGATGCCAAATGACAGGAGTATTAGCTTTTCTTAAAGTGTTTCCAAACAATAACTTACATTTCCAATTGGGAGACCATTTATACAGCATGGCCCTAAGGGATCAGCATTTCTTTTTGATTCTTTTTATTTGACGTGATATTTGGGCCTTCTCTTTTATTATTGCCCTATGATGTGGCAGGTTAACATTCACTTGTGTTGGTTCCTTGATACTTCCATTATGACATGTATGCTATGACATGTATGCTATGACATGTATGCTAAATATGTATGCCATCTTCCTAATTCATGTGTCAAGGACATATGTACCATGAAGTGTTACCTTATCAATCGTTTCGTTTTAACCCCACTATTCCCTTTTAAAATGCTTTAGAGGAAAAAAAAAAAAAGTGTACAGATGGCGCCCCAAACAGCCTGCTGCATAGCTGTTTTTCTCTCTCGTTTTTTTTTAGTCATATAGTCTCTCTCTCTCTCTTGATGTTTACCCTGTGTTAATTCCTTATCTTTTGCTGGAGGACTCATGCTTCCATGATTAGCCCCTTACATCTCACAAAAAATTCATGGTCATGGGGTCTTTCAGAGGTTTTTTCGCTTTCCTTCTTACAAACACAGTGAGCTCCTCTCTCTTACCGAATTTTTATCGGAAGCTCCTTCTCAAATATTTTAGGTAAGTGACATTATTATCTTGAAAAATAATCCATTCTTTTTAAAAGTTAAATGAAATAATTATTTCTGCTTATTATCATGAATTTCAGGCGCGATAAATTTTATGTGCACGCGACCTCATTATTTTGAAACATAACCTTTTTAATAAAAATTGTGATATTTTATCTATGTTAGAAATTTTGAATGCTGTAAATTATTAGAAATAAATTTATTTATTTTTCTTGTCTATTGTTGGAAAATTTTAGATACTGTAAAATTATTAGAAATACATGTGAT